AGGAAGAGAGGACAATTGACTTTTATAGTGTGAAAACAATTTGAAATTGCTCAACATTCAGAAAAACAAATACAAATCACATAGAATCATAGAATGGTTTGGGTTGGAGGGGACCTTAAAGATCATCTCATTCCATTCCCTGCCATGGGCAGGGACTCCTTCCACTAGACCAGGTTGCTTCAAGCCTCGTCTAACCTGGCCTTGAACAACCTTTTCCCTAATTGTCTTGAGCAGCCCTTCCCTGATTTTTATTAAGTTGTCATGCAGTACAGAAGATAAGGGAATCAAAAATTAAATCTAAAGAAGGACACTGCACTTTCCCCGGGCTACTCGACTTCATGTGGTTTAGAAGTTTGAAAGCTCTTTCCCAGAGGTGCAGGTCTAAAGCAGACATCTCTGCTCAGAGTGGGCTGCACTGAATGATAAATACAGTGGATTGCACTGAATGATAAATAAATAGCCATCAGAAATCTTATCCAAATGCCAAACCCCAGGTACCTGAGTGAATTGTTTGCACTTCACCGCAACATAAATATCAATCTAAGAGTAGAGGATGGTAAATTCTTCCCAGACATGACTTACGGAAACTTTGCTGGATACCAAAAAAGGTGACTGGAGTTAAATGTTAAAGTCTGTCTTCCAGACTGGGAATGGGTCTGTGATAAACATGTCTCAAGGAGTATAGCAATTATTACTCCTCATATGTAACCCCGTCACTGCAAGGTGAGAACAGCTGGTGGCTTCTGTGAAGGAAGCTGTGTATCCTCAGTGCACACAGGGACAGGGCAAAAAGGCCAAGAGTTGTTTGGACATGGAGCCAAGTTACCCTCCACATCAAGGTGAAACACATTAGTGGGTGCCGAGGAAGCTGCTTCTGCTGTCAATCCCTGGAGTTTAGCTGGTCTGCGAATAAACAGCCTTCCTGCCTTGCTGGGGCTATCGATCCCACACCCAGCAGGAGATGCTTGATGTGATTTTCACTCACACACGTCCAAATGGCTACACATCACACCAGCCAAATGAAAAATCACCTCATCAGAAGATTACTGGGGAGGATCTTGTGGAGAGGAGAATGAATGCTGGTGACCTGTGTCACCTGCAGGACAAAGATCCTGAAACAACTATGAGAACTCCATAAGAAAGAGAGGGACCTTCAGTGCTCAGCAGCTATCCTGACACTGCAAGTTTATCCCATTTGAATAGAAGATACCAAGTTTTAATGACTTTCCACTGGTTTTGCTTGAGAAGAAAGATGTCCCTGAAAGCTGACTGTATGTACTTGAGCATTCGTGACACAGGAATTTCCTAATAAATATGTTTATCCACTGCATATGGATATTCCTTTCCTGATATCATTTTAATTCTTATTCATCTCATCAACTAGCCACATTATCTCACCTTCATGATTTAAAAACTCTTGGAACATCATGTGAAAAAAGGCAGTGCACTAAAGAACTAGGTCACTTAAAACTTGTTCATATGCCGTGCCCTTAATTTATTATAATATGAAAACATTTACCTTAGCTCCTTTTCTGAATGAGGTTCATGATCAGCTCCCAGCTTCTTTCATTATAGTTATATACATGACATTACTACATTTGTAATAAAGTTAAATGAGACAGCTTGCAGCATGCAGAAGCAATTGCCTCCCTCTCTCACACAGGAACCAATTCCTTCGTGTCTATTAGAAGACATTATATTTCGGAACTAGCACATTCACGATCCCTGAATTATTTGTAGATTAAATGATTTGAAAAACGTGTAATGAATTTGCTCTCATGCAATTTATAAAACTTAGTAGACTTCCAAGATTTTTTCATCATCAGAAAATCCTTGTAGTTTGACTAAGACATTCTCACATACAGGTTGCTACTGAATTACTAATCACATTTATCCCTACAAATGGATTTAACTCCTGACCTACAGTGCTCATTGCAGAGTCCCACAAGCATCAGGGGCAGTATTTAGCTTGGTCTCTCGGTAAACCACAGATTGAACAACTCTGCAACATTGATTTCTAGTTACAGAAATTGCACATTTCAGTTCTGTCACTGCTCCTACAGTGCTGTCAAACCAAGAGAGATTTTGACTTCAAAAAGTCAAATTATGAAAGGGAAATTATAACCTAAGAGGTTTATAATAGATATCTTTGCTATGTTACTTCATCATACACATTCTGATAAAAGCATGACAAACATTTCTGCCAAGTTATAGGGAATGGCCATTATGGAATAGTCTTTGCCTCCCAGGAATCCAAATGCATCTTCTGGTGACATTATACCTTACTGCCTCTTTGGTGTCTCTCAGCTCATTTCCCAGCTTTCCACTTACTGATGATAAACAATAATTGCAATAGGACAAATAACACAGAACCAGAGCAGCACTATCTGGCTATTGGAAAATTAAAAGAGGAAAATAATAGTAAACTACACGAGTTGTACCTTCTCTCCTTTGTCTTAGTTACAGTGAGCAAGACAGAGTTAATGTCTTTTTCCCTGCACTTACAAAGCATCTTCCCATTAGGGTATCTCAAGGGTGTTTGCTCCTTTTTCACTGAGCATGTATCACTGGATGTTTACTATGTTGTTCCTTCCTGCTTCTGAGCAAAACCACCCACTGAGATTTTGGAGACAGCAGCCAGACAGACCGTACACATAAAACTGCCAGCCTTAATGCTCTTATGCCTCATTAGCTGACCTCCTGCTCCTTTCTGCACTTGCCCAGGACTGCTAGATGTCCAGCAGCAGTGTAACACATCTGTCATGGGACAGCAGCACTCTGACCTCTGTCCCACAATGGATTACATGCACCACAGTAGATTAGATACACCAGACAAACTCAGGGAAGTGTCCATGTTCATGTGCAGAGCCCAGAGGTGGCCTGTGCCAGTGGAACTTCACTGACATTTCCTTCACTGAGACAAGAATTAACTCCTGAGGATTTTTTATTGTGCAAAAAGAAAAAGGACAAAACTGTAGTGTGGTCTTGCTTAGAGTACTGCCGTGGTAATATCATCTGTCTGCTCAGGTGGTTCTGGTGTGTAAATATTCACAGAAAACATATTAGCAAATTGCTTTGGAACAGTAATAAACATAATAAATAGGTGAAATTGTGTCCTAAGAAAGTATTTTTCTACAAAGCATTCAGAGAGAGAACAGATTTATGAAGCAAGAACTCAAAGAAAAACATCCTAGAACTGGCAGTCCTGTTGATTATACCCAGAGCAGAGTATTTCAATATAAGCAAAGCCCTCCCTCTCTCTTCCTCTGAGATCCTTCTTGAAACCCATCTGTTTTGTGCTGCACTGCACTTAACAAGAGCCTCCCACCACGCTGTTCCAACATTGTACCACTCAGTGGTGTCCTGTGCAGCTCCAGTTTGTACAAGTTCTTCCGGAGGGAAGCCCTCCTGTTTATGAGACACAGTTGTCCCATTGTACTCAACCCTCTGTGCTTCCATCGCTGCGGAAACTACAGCGTGGCTGAGGAAGGCAGGCTTTGCAGCTGGGGCTCAGCACTGAGATGCAGTTTGAGGACATTAATGCAGTTATAGGATATTCACTCTTCCCCCTGCAGGGAGTGGCTGTGATGGCACAGAGCCATTTCAGAAAACTGCAGCCATGGCAGCTGTAACAAAGCCGTGATCACACAGTTATGAGGCACCCTCTGCAAGTTCACTGGTGACACTGATCTGTGGGGCTGTCACACACTGGAGAAACAGGATGGGGACCTGGACAGAGAAGGTGGGACTGTGCAAAGTTCGACAAAGCGAAGTTCAAGGTCCTGTGCCTGGGTTGGAGCAATTCCAGGCAAACCTGCAGGTTGGGTGAAAACGGATTGAGAGCAGCCCTGAGGAGAAGGGTTTGGGGCACTGGTGGGTGAGAAGTTCAACATGCCTCAGCCACGTGCGCTCATAGCCCAGCCCCCTACGGTGTCCTGGGCTGATCCCATAGAGAGGGCAGCAGGTACGGGGAGGATTCTGCCCCTCTGCCCTGTTCAGGTGAGACCCCACCTGCAGTGGGATCTCCAGCTCTGGGATCTCCAACATAAGGACATGGAACTGCTGGAGCAAGTCCAAAGGAGGCCATGAAGTCAATAAGAGTACTAGAGCAACCTCCCTGGTTGCTCTAGTATGAAGTCTATGAAGCCAGACTGAGAAAGCTGGGGCTGTTCAGCCTGGAGAAGAGAAGGTTGTATGGAAACCTCAGAGGACCTTCCAGTTTCTGAATGGGCTACACGGAAGCCAGAGAGGGACTCTTTATCAGGAATAGGAGTGGCAGGACAAGGGGGAATGGCTTCAGACTGAGAGAAGGGAAACTGATACCCCAACAATCCCACCATGTGCCTGAGAGCATCGTCCACATGCTCCGTGAGCTCTGTCAGACTCATCCCTCGGGTCCTGTCACTGGTCACCAAGGACCTGTTCAGCCTGGAGAAGAGAAACTTCGGGGTGACCTAACTGTGGCTTTCCAATGCCTAAAGGGAGCCGACAAGAAACATGGGGAGAGATGAGCAGGGTCTGAGGACACTTGTTCTGTTCAGCCCGGAGGAGACTGAGGGGAGACTTCATTGTAGTTACAACGTCCTCGGGAGGGGCAGAGGAGGGGCAGGCACTGATCTCCCATCTTCGGGAACCAGGGACAGGACCCGAGGGAACGGCTGGAGCTGTGTCAGGGCAGGGTTATGTTGGATATCGGGAAAAGGTTCTGCCCTCAGAGGGTGGCTGGGCACTGATCAAGTTCCCCAGGGCGGTGGTCACAGCACCAAGGCTGACAGGGACAGGACTCGACGATCCTTGTGGGTCCCTGCCAACCCAGGATACTCCGTGACTCCGCGACTATTTACGAGGTCCTTGAGTGACACCGACACGGCTCCACACCAAAGGAGGGTGTGGTGGAAGGAGCGAACGGGGCCGCTGCGGCTTTAAGGAGGCGGGTTTGCGGTGTGTGTTGGGCTCGTCATGCGCGCAGGGCCGGGGCCGCCCCGGTGCCATGAACAACCATGTACCGCCTGGCCCGGCTGTGTCCCCGCCTGGGTCCCCACAGCCCACCGGGCCCCGCCGGGCCCCGGGCCCTCCGCCCCGCCTGGGCCGCGCTCCGGCCGGGGCCGATCCCGATCCCCATCCCGATCCCCCGGGGATTCGCCGCGGGCAGCTCCGCTAAGGTACGTGAGGGGGGCGAGGGGGCACCTCTCGGTGCCGAGCGGGCGAGCTTTGGGTTAAAGCACGAGATGTCCTGACCTCCAAGTGTTTTTCAGGTTTCTCCGGGTGCCTTTAGGGGTTCAGCCCTCTCCCCCCCCCCAGCCCGGGGTCGTGGGATCGTGGTTATCCCGGGTTTCTGTGGGAGACGGGAAGCTGTTTTACGCCTGCTGGTGCCAAGATTGTTAACTTGAGCTTTCCGAAATGCCTCGTTTATAGTTTTTCATCTCTACATTTTAATTCGCAGGGTGGTTTCTGTAGCCTCGTTACAAAGAGTAACAGGATGTTTCAGACATGTTTTCATGGCTTAAATCACCGAAATTATGTGAATAAAATTGGGATTCTAGCAGAAATACTGTAGCAGCAGCTTTCTTTGCTAAGCTGTGCATTATTCAGGGCATGACCACCTTGGGTGGTCCAAATAACATCTGCTGAAGTGATTCTATTTTAACGTCTTGCTTGGATAGAATTCCAAAATTCCTGGTGTGTGAGCCTGGGAACACGAGTGAGTTGGAATGGACTTGGATGATGAGAACAAGCATTTTTTCAATACATATGATCCATCTGTAAGACCTAGAGTTCCCCTGAGGCTCATGTACCTCTGTAGTTTGTCAGATCCTTTTTTCACAGCAGCTTTCTGAGGAAAATCCACGTTTGGCTCCTTAAATAGATAATGACCATCTTTATTTGTATGAAAAATTCACTATAAGCTATTAAATATTAAAATACCATTCAGACCATGTTTGGCTCTTAAGAAAATGATGCTGTAGAATAAATGAGTGTTCTTGAATAAGCATGTGGCAGTGATTGAATTGCTGGGACAGCTTTTGGCAGAAGGTATTATGAAACTATTCTGTTATTCAGATAGTTGCATTCAGTAACTGAGTATTTAAATTTTACAGGCTGGGAGTCTAAAGAAAATTTTCCCTCCTCCCCAGTAAATAATTCCTTCCTATAATATCACTGCAGATTAAGAGGGTGAGTTCTGAAACACAGTGAAGCAGCAGCCACGGAGTAAAACCATGGAATCTAATTCCTTCCAGGGGTTGAAAGTAATTAGAGTGTCTAACTATGAATCCATTCTTTTGCTTAGTGAGCTTGCTTAAAAAATACTTTTGAGTGTTTTTTTTCCCCTCATTTGCCAAATCCTGAGGCTTTTGTGGCAATGCTTTCTTCCTGTCACTATTTCTTCTCTGGCAAGCACAAAGGCTGTCTTATTGCTATCAACAGTGTCTGATTTCAGTTTGCTTTGGGGTCTGTTTAGTGTGAAGTTCTGCACTTTAAATGTGCCCAGATAAAAAGCTGTCAATAAGTTCTACTCTGACAAACATTTGCAGTGCAGTTGGGCTCTTCACACCAGCCCTGGCATGTCCTTGTAGTTGTTGTCTACACTGCAGCAACAGAATTGCTCGTCGCTGTCAACACTTGCAGTTCCCCCGTTCTTCCTTTTATCAGCTGATCTACAGAAGGTGATTTATAGGAACTTAAAACGTTGGACCTCTTCCACCAATGAGTTATTACTAAGCCAGCAGCAGCCTGGTATCAGGTAGTCTTCCAGTGCCACCAGCTGCTTAGCCCTGGAATAAAAAGCTGCGTTCCAAGGATTCACTGTGGAAAGCTGAGCAGTGGGTGTAAGCAAGGGGCTCTGCCACCTCAGTCCCATCTCTCAAGCAGCTGTGTGGGTGTGCCTTGGCACACATTTGGATCAAATACTCTGTTTTTAATTATGAAAATTGAATTATGCAAGAACTTGCACCAGGCTCAGTGTATCCTTTTGATACGAGGGAAAAGGGAGCTTGCCTGAGCTCTGCCACAGGCATCTGCTCTGCTAATGTGAAAGAGCAGAAGTGTGTTACTGCTTTCCCAAATCTCTCTGTTTGTAAGAGACTTCTTCCATTATTTCACATTGGTTCAACTGACTAGAATATGATCTTTTGCTTAATGCTAATAAATGCTTCTAATTGTTTTCTCTTTAGGATGCACGCGAACCCCCCAAATACACAGCCACTGATCCCAGTGGTGAGAACAAGAAACTCAACAAATCTCAGCAGCTGAAACAAGTTTTTAAAGAATATGGTGCTGTAGGAGTTTCATTCCATGTTGGAATTTCATTAGTATCTCTAGGAATCTTCTACCTGGCTGTGTCAAGGTGAAGTTTGTGCAGTTGTCTGTCACCTCAAAATAGTGGTTTAGCCAAGAAAAATGTATTAAGCATTATGCTTATTTCTGGCAGGAGACACGTACCTTATGCCTGTAGCATCCGTACACAGTAACCTGGATTTTGAATATAGATGGGTCCATAAGCGGGTCTGATCTCCCATCAGCCATGAGAGAAGTTGTACATGATCTTTTTACACAGGTTCACCATCAGTGAAAACAGCAGAGACTGTACCAAAGTAACTGAGCAGAGGAGAGAATGTCTTTGTCTAGCAGAGATATCTTTTGTTCTCACACGGTGCCGTGGTCTGTAGAGATAGAGCCATGCAAAAGTGCTGGGGCTTAGAGATAAACTTATTTTTCTGGGTGTTGAACAGTTTCTGCGCTTGAACTGCAAGAAACAACAGCCACTAAAACAGGATTAAAGTAAAAATAATATTCAATGTATATGGAAATTGTGTGTGTGGCTTTGGTGGGAATGCATCAGGTACAAATGTCTGCTGAGCATGAGGTATTTCAGCTGAGGAGAAAAACATTCCCAGCTGCTTACTCCTGACACCAGTGGGAATAAAGGAATTTCTCCCATTTACTGCTTTGTGGCACAGGGTGACAATGAACTCCCAGTTAAAAGATACTGTACTGGCAAGTGAAGGGAGAAAACTCACATTAACAGCTTCTTTTGGAAAATTGCTCCAAACACCTTGATGAAAGCTGCTATGTGTATAGAGAATTAAAATATTCATGGATTTGGTGGATAAGGGTCATTTGAGATCCATACTACTTCCTTCACTTGCTAGAGTTTAGATAGGATACTTCTCATTGTAACAGGTTTGTAGCCCTCCGTTAGAACACTCTAAGCCCAACAACAGGTACCTCATTTGGTTTGTGTTATTCCGTGTTTAGGTGATAAATTTCCTCCAGACACAGAATAGACTTTATTGTAAAATTTGGAAAGACACATTTCCAACACAAATTCATGCTAACTTTTTGAAAATCCCTGTGTAGAGAAATAGCTTATTTTCTCTCCAAAGGTTGAGCTTGAGGGTTGGAACTAGGTGATCTCTAAGAGCTCTTCCAACCCAAACCATTCTGTGATTCTATGAGTATTTTCCATGCACATGCTGCAACTGTACATTTGGAAAACTAAGGAGATATTTGACTTCACAAGGAACTCGACAATTTAAGAAAAAATTGAAATCAGGAAATACTGTATGTGTCGTTGGTACTGAAGTAATTTAAGCTGTTACTGCTGAAATAACTCATTCTGCTCAATATTTGACAGCATTTAATTTGCACATAAATTCCAGAGCTGGAAGTGTGCTATGTTAAACTGCGCTTTATATTTTAAAAAATACAAACCTTAAAATTAACTAAAGGAGTCTTGTTCTCTGTCCCTGCAGTGGTGTGGATATGACTGCAGTTCTCCTCAAGCTTGGTTTCAGTGAATCCTCCCTGCAGTCCAGGATGGCTGCAGGCACCAGCACCTTTGTCCTGGCCTATGCTGTGCACAAGTTGTTTGCTCCGGTCAGGATCAGCATCACGGTGGTTTCTGTGCCCTTTGTTGTCCGGTACTGCCGTAAAATCGGGTTCTTCAAACCTCCTGCCTCCAGCCCGTGATGATTTGTCACTGGATTTTGTTTTTTAAATGCTCCCTATCCACAAAGTTTCTTTAAAAGACTTCCTTGGATTCTGTGTTCATGCTGACCTCACCTTGCATTTCTGACTTGTTCTTTCAGGTAAATGTCACTGTGAAAATGCTGTCCTTATCTTCTTTCCCTTTTGCCACCTCTCCTTTGGAAAAACCTGTTAAAGTGGTGTCTGGTTTCCACTGCAAGGGGCAGTATAAATGCTTTACAACGAGCAGTCTCTTAACACACAGGCTTTATAATCTTGCTTTTTGGGCCTTAATTTTTTTTTCCCTGTCAAAACTGAGTCGCAGCATTAGTTCATTATTGTGTAGCTGAGAAACAGTAAGATTCTCTTTCCAGTAGAATAATATCCTACTACACAGTCCTTTTGTTAAGGGTTTATATTGGAATCTAAAGTGGCAAGTGGGCGTTTCTTTTGTTAGAAAAGGATTTTATTATGGCATAACTTGCAGTACAACACATAACACTGAACTAACTTTAGTGGAAGTACACCTATGATTAATTATTGCAGTGATGCACTGGTATGAAACTACACCTCCATTATAGCGCTTCCATAATCCAAGATTTTATTTTTTGAAAATGTGTTTTATTTATAGGCTGGGAGCTGGTCTTACTGAACTCCTTTAGTGTAGTTTTTGTTATGCCTATAGACTCAGAAGGAATCTTGAGTCTACTGAAATCAGTGTAACCAGAATTACCTCCTATGTGAACATACTCCAAAGAGAATCAAGTCAGAGACAAGCTGGGGTGGTTTAATGTCTTAAGATCTGGCTTTGCACTGGAAACACATTCTTATCTTAAAAGTAACCCAAGCAGTTTCTACTCCTGTGGAAGAGTTTTAAACCTGCACCCAAAGTCCAGACATTCCAGTTCATAGCTTCTGAGGAACAATTCCTGTGGTTTTGACAGAGACTGGTGAATGTAGCAAGTAGAGCTGCTTTTCCTTTCCTTAATAGGACACTTCCCTTAGAATGTAGGTACACATGTGCATTTTCACATTCCACCTTCCAGCTAACCTAAAGACTGAATCCCAAAAGCGAGGGTACCAGGGGATTTGAGGCTCAGAACTGTGCTGCTCTGAGGCAACCTGAGCCAGATCTGTGAGGTTTTAGACCTGTTCCTCCTTCCAGGTCTGCTCTTCTCACCTTGTCTTTGTCCTTACGCTGGCCCCAAGGTGGCTCTTTGCAGATCTGCCCATCGAGAAATTTTATTGAAGTAAAAGAGAGGAAGTGACCCTGGTGATCAATTTTTTTTTTCTGAAATTTCAGGATTAATAGGAAGGAATTATGAGATGAGGATGAGAGTTGGCTGAGGGAGGGAAAGAGCAAATAACTTCTTGTTATGAGCAGCCTTTTGCCATAAAATTCAATTGCACCTTAATTCCTTCCACACAAAGTCAAATCCAGAGGCAGGTTGGATACACTGAAGCTTCCCAGACTGGACCTGTACCAGGATAATAACAGAATTCCAGAATAAGCATGAGGCAGCCTTGTTTTCTTCATTTAGAATCAGTTCTAATAAGTCTGTTTCATCCTAAACTTGATGGAGAAGGAATAGTCAAAGCTTGTTCTTTGTCAAAATCACATGTAAAGCTGGAATCACTTGAAGCAAACGTACCCAAAAATCATTAGAAGGCACCAGCACTAAACTGGACTTTTCTTGCTGTAAAAAGAAAGAGCTTCATATAAATTATGACCAAAATTCAGATTACTTAAGATAAAGATGGTTGTATAAACTACTAGTAATTTGTTTAGATGAAGTGGGTTTTTTGCAAAAGTGTATTTTAAATTGAGAATATATTTTGAAGTAAGTGCACCTTGCATCAAACCCACATGTACCTGGATCAAGTATATTAAATATTCCACAAGCTCCAGCTAGAACTTTATGTTGCAATTAGAGTGTAAGACAACAGCCAAGTAACAGTAAGAGAATTCCAGAATGAGTATGAGGCAGCCTTTCTTGTTTAGAATCAGTTCTGAGAAGTCTGTTTTGCCCTAAAGTTGATAGAACAACCTTTGACTATTCTCCTTCTCAAAATAATGTATAAAGCTGGAATAATTTAAAGCAAATGTACCTAGAAGTCCAGCACTAGAGTTTTCTTGCTCTAAAAAGAAACAGCTTCATATAAATTAGGACCAGAATTCAGATTACTTAAGATAAAAAGGGTTGTATAAACTACTGGCAATTTGTTTAGATGAAGTGTTTTTTTGGCAAAGTATATTTTAAATTAATTTGAGAATATATTTTGAATTCTAGAATCCTTGCTTGTAAAAGGATCATTTTTTAAAGTTGTTTGTAAAATAGTGAAGATGACATTGAAGTCTTATAATGAAAATACAATAAATTGCTTTGTCTTAGTTTGCTTGAAGTGTTTTACTGGAAAATAGTTGCTCTGCAAATTTTGGTGACAAAGGTCCTGACCCTTGGTACATTTTAGAGAATGTCTTACAACACCAGATGTTAATATGACATATCCTATTTGATGACAATACTTTCCAGACCTTTATCTTAGAAGTGCTTGCAGATCATGATGTGTTTGAATAAATTCATTTAAGAAAGGACAAAGCAAGCTAAAGTCTAAATAAATTAACAAGGTAAGGAGCAACACCTTTGGTACTTACCTTGTAATCCTGATTTGGGAGTGTGGGGTAGTGATTCATGCATTTAAGATAGTACTTAAGTGCATTATTCCATTAATGCAGTTTCCATTACGTAAGTGTACCTGCTTGGTGGTACCAGCACTCTGAGAAGAACTTTATACCAACTTCCTTTTTGACAGAGGTGGGAATTAAACATAATGACCAGAGAGGAGGAGTTCAGCTGTGCTGCTGTTAGAGACAACCAGTGCCACAAGGAACCCCACCATGGTGGCTGCAGTGTAACAAATCTTTATTTCAAAGTTGAGTGCTCACATTTAAAACGAACTAGACACAAAAAATAACTGACTCATCATTTTTAAAACACTTAAGAAATGCATTCACCTCTCTCAGTCTCAGGTTACACCACAGTTTAGACACCCTTAGCAGCCCAGGAAGTGAGGAGCAGGTTCCTCCAGGATATTGCACTGTTCAGTAAGCCAAAGCAACAACTTCCTCTGGTTGGAACAACAAACCATTACCAGGACTGACCACAAGAGCCTTGAACAGCTTAACACTTATATCAAACCTGGCCCACAAGTACCTGGATTTCAAGTGTATTAAATATTCCACAAGCTCCAGCTGGAAGTCAAAGAACTTTATGTTGCAATTAGAGTGTAAGACAACAGCCAACCCAAGGATTCCAATTGCCATTAGATTCCAAGACCTGCTTTTCCTATTTGTAAGCATTACAGTAGTCACAGTACAAGGCTCCTCTTGTTGATCCCATGAGGTCCTCCTAAAACTACGTTTTGGATGGGGCAGCAACATCACTCTTTCTGCTGCTGGGCACCTTTGTAGAGTTTGTCGTGATCCAGGGATGGAGAAGAACATCCTTCAGGGGCAGTCGATGGAATGGGTTGTGCTTCAGAAGCTTGGAAATTAAATCCCTCGCACCTTCTGTTACAAACGGAGGAAACTTGAACTCCACCTAAGGAGAAAAGGACACTAAAGATGAGGGAAAAGGTTCTTTGGTAATAACCAAACTACAGAGCTAAAGATGAGATCAAATAATTTCATCGTAATCCTGAACAAGGCTCTCGCCATTTGTAGAAGTCTTTGTATATTGTTGTGTATATTTTCAGCCTGCTTCAAACAAAACTTGTTTGCTGGAACCTTTCTGGGGTATGCAGCAGGAAAAGTTAAGGTTATGTATTTTTAATAACACCTTGAATGTTAAATATTCATGTTATCAGTTAGAAAAGCTGTGGGGAAGATGAGTTGCTTTCTGAAACATAGAAATTCAGATGCAGGGAAGAACCAAGGAAGCAAGACAAGGTATCTTTGAAGTCTCTTTATAGTCATTGCACTGAAGGACTGAAGACAGTTTTGGGGATACAGGTTTACACAGATCATTATGTCATGCTGCAGTTCTAGTGAAAATACAGTCATTCAAAATTTCTAGAGCTGAAAGGCAGCTTGTCCAAGTAAGCACTGGCACTTACCCTGGAAATAGCTCTGTAGGTTTCCTGATATGTTGTTGCTTCAAATGGTGGTTTCCCTACAAGGAATTCATAGCACAGAACTCCCAGGCTCCAAATATCCACCTTCTCGTCATGTGTTCTTCCCTCAATCATTTCAGGAGGCAGGTAGTCAAGTGTCCCACAGAGAGTTGTTCTCCTGAAGAAAAGTCCAAGTTAATCATTAATTATGGCAATTATAGGATTTATTTCCAGAGCCAGATAAAAACTAATGCTGACCATCCTCAGTACCTCACTATAGTCCACCTGAATGGGCTCAGCACCACCATAATATCTGCCAGCAGTACATTTTCTACTTCTGTCTCAGTCCCTGCAATCAGTTTTCTCTCTACTTTCTTCACCCCACTTGATAGAACAAATACAGTCCTCCTTTTTTAGGTGCAATTTCACACTCAGTAAGGAAATAATATTGCCAGTGTTGGTCTGTCATCTCAGGGAACGCTGTAGCCCTACACCAACCCTTATCTCTTTCAGGGTCAGCAAAGTTTGAACTGTTGATAAAACAGGATAACAACACTCCTCTGCTACCCCAGTTCACTATTAGGACCTTCGTTGTGGTAGCATTTTTGCCCACTATTTTTAAAGTTCATCTCAATTCCACAGCTGTGTTACACAAAAACTTATTTTCAGTACAGAAAGATTTCACTGCATAAGACACACTGAGTTCTCACCTAGAAGATGGAGCATGCACTGACCATCCAAAGTCAGCAATTTTTAGCTCTCCATTTGAGCCAAGCAGCAAGTTTTCAGGCTTGATGTCTCGGTGAATGACACTCTTGGAATGACAGTACGAGAGGGCATCTGCTAGTTCTGTGATGTACTGTGTTGAGAGAGAAAAATCTTTAATATAGACATTGTCATTAGGGTTTATCTGGCTGCAGTACAGCTTTTCCCAGGTGTAATTAGTAGTTTTAAGTCAAAGCAATTATTTCTTAAACCCTTGAAGTCTGGCAACACAGGCTGTGCCTGAAGTGACCAAGCACTTGCAAAAGCAAGCAGTTCTGAGCATACATTATTACACAGCACTAATGTAACTGTGTTTCCAATTTATTCTGTTACAAGCCCATATGCAAACTAGCATCCAAGGAATCTCAGTGTCATAGCAGAACTTTATGTGAAGAGCTGCAGATATTCCAGCTACACAAAGTGATGTATAGGAAGCTGGAACTACCTACAGTAGCAGTTCTTTGCTCATCAAACTTGGTGAGCTTCTGAAGTTCTTTGTAGACTTCTCCACGAGGTGCATACTCTAGAATCAGGTAGACTCTGCTGGCATCATGGAAGTAGCCATATAATCTGAGAATGTTGGGGTGCCTGCAAAGAGATTTAAATGTTATTCTGAACAAGGTATTTGTCCAAAACCTTTAATTTCCCTCTCCTGCCCACCCCCCCC